CTGACTGACCTGATAGAAGAGTGAGCTAAATCCTCATCAGTGCCAATTGCTCGAAGGACATAAGAGGGCTCCAGGGATGCAGAAGTGCACGCACTGAGGAGAAAGACACAGAGCCTTGCTCAGTTCATCAACATCTGATTTTAGCCCCAAACCCCCAGACCTGCTCCCATCTTCCAGGTCCCTAGAGTCATAACATGGAGACAAAAGAGACATTCTCATCTGTCAGAGCTAAAGGGCCGATGCTACCGGCACTTTCTGGGATTTAAATCTAGCTCCTCTGGCCCATATGGCGGTTAAACTCTTTAAACAAGGATATTGCCACAGAATGACACCACAAGAGCTGGTCTGACAACAAGAGGCAGCAGAACACGTGTTCACTCCCCTGTGACCGAATACACCATATTGTACCAGCACAGATGGCAGCTAAACCCGTGGTGGCCTTTAAAGTATACTTCAATTCCGGAGGCCTACAACAGAACTGCTAATACTAGAACAGATACTTGCATCTCCTGGGACTACAAAAGGTACAAAATTCTACCCCAAGAAGCCCTCCTAGAATGGCAATTTCAGCCTGTGCCCAGCTAGCTAAAAAAATAGATGTTTACGCCCTAGCCGGGTTGGCTCAGTGGATAGAGCGTTGGCCTGTGGACAAAAGGGTCCTGGGTTCGATTCTGGTCAAGTACATGTACCTAGGTTGCAGGTTCCTCCCTGCCTGGGCCCTGGGTGGGGCATGTGCAGGAGGCAATCAATCGGTGTGTTTCTCTTACACTGATGTTTCTCTCTGTCTCTCCCTCTCTCTCCCATTCTCCCTAAAAATCAATAGAAAAATAGGCTCGGATGAGGGTTAACAAAATATATAAATAAATAGATGCTTACAAAATGACCTTTATTCTTAACCAAGAGCTCTTGTACCTGTTATCTCTGTACTGAAAAGCTCAATAATCTGTTATAATACTTAGAAGCCAGGCTAATTGGTTCTGCCACAGTCCTTTCTATCTGGTCCAACTTACCTCCCCGAAGATAAGGCAACATCCTTGAGTGCCATCAGTAGACTCTCCCCTTCCACATAGGCAAAGGAGAGGTTGATACAACCTGGAAAAGAGAACCACTATGAGAGGAGTCTAGTCTCAGGCTCTTCCAGAATGGGAATAGAAAAGGCATGTCCATACCTGGGTAATGGTGATAAGGGTCCCCATTCATCACCACATCCGGAAGGCTCTTCATTATCTTCTGTATCAGTCGCTCTGCTAACTTTGAAATTCGCTTGTGGTCATACTAAGGAACAGGCAAGAGAGAACTAAGCATAGGACCATCAACAGCAAGGAAACACACAGGACAAGGAGCCCTCCTCCTGTGTCCAGAAGTGACTGTGCATTAGATCTACCTATCGTCCTATGTTACTCATGGAGACCACTGTATCCCCAGCACGGAGCACAGCACCTAGTATGCAAAGGTGCTAAATAATTGGACACATGGGTTCCAATAACCCAGAAATAAATGAGCTGATAACTACTGAAGGGACCTGGATTTTGGAGCCCATAACACCTCCCTCCAAAACAAGATGCCAGCAGCACTGGGACAAAGACAGTTTTCTTAAACCTCCTCTTCTGGCAGAGATCTGACTCATTCATGCTGAGAAGCTTCTAACAGGAGACCCAGCACAGGGGAAAAGGTTGTGAGAGGAAACTGCTCTCTCCTTACCTCCATCTCTTGCTGTGCCACTTCACACGCAGCCCCCAGGCCCACCACCAAGGGTGTGGGCACTGTCCCAGACCGCATACCCCGCTCCTGCCCCCCTCCACTCTGCAGGGCCTCCACACGCACACGGGGCCGGCGGCGAATGTAGATGGCACCAACCCCTGGGAAACAAAGTTTGTTACATAAAAGAGAAAAAGAAAAATACAGGTGAAATAAAATATAACTTTCCAAAGGGGTCAAAATATTCTTTCAACTTTTCTATAAGCTTGAAATTTTTCAAAATAAAAAAGCTTGGAGGAAAAGAAGAAACAGCAATAAAAGCATAATACATATCAAAATTATTTAACATCAGGAGGGTAACTACCAGAAGGAGTCAAGACTCATTTTTAAGTTTAAAGTAGCTCCGTATGCATGTGTAAAATGGCATCACCCAATGCAGCATTACTCACAATAGCAAAAAAAAAAAAAATTGGAAACAACTTAGATGTCTTTCATCAGGGGTATGGGCAAATAAATTATGATACATGAAATACAAAGCAGGTGTATAAAAGAATGAGAAAGCTCCTTTTGTACTGCTGCTGTAAAATCTCCAAAATACACTGTTAGAAAACTGTTAAAATTTTAAGTCTATACTTTAATTTTTTAAATGTATTTTATTGAGTTTTACAGAGAAGGGAGAGGGATAGAGACTTAGAAACATCGATTAGAGAGAAACATCACTCAGTTGCCTCCTGCACGGCCCCCTACTGGGGATCGAGTCTGCAACCAAGGTACATGCCCTTGACCAGAATCAAACCCAGGACCCTTCAGTCTGCACTCTATCCACTGAGCCAAACCGGATAGGGCGTGTACTTTAATTTTTTTTAAAAAGACATGCCCCCCCCCACGCCCCACCCCCTAAAAAAGATATGCCCAGCCTGTGTGACTCAGTTGTTGAGCATTGACCCAAGCACCAAGAGGTTGCCAGTCGATTCCTGGTTAGGGCACATGCCAGTAGGAGGCGTGCAGTAGGTAGCTGATCCATCGATGTTTCTATTTCTCTCTCTTCTCCTTCTCCCTTCCTCTCTAAAATAAAAAAATCTATAAAAACATATATATTTTTTAAAAAGATGTATTGTTAGGTGGAAAAAGCAAAATGCAGAACAATGAGTATAGTGTGCTATCTTGTGAGTTAAAAACAAAGGGGGAGCTCTGGCCAATTTTGCTCAGTGGTTAGAGTGTTAGCCCGCAAACTGAAGGGTCTTAGGTTCGATTCCCAGTCAAAGGAACATACGTTGGTTGCAGGCTTGATCCCCACCCCCGATCAGAGTTCATGGGGAAGGCAACCAATTAATGTTTCTCTCAGTCTCTCCCACTGCCTTCCACTCTAAAACTCAGTGGGAAATAAAATATCCTCCGGTGATAGGATTAACAGGGTACGGGCTTCTGTGGGAGGCAACCAATTGATGTGTCTGTCTCACATCAATGTTTCTCTCGGTCTCTCCCCCTCCCTTCCACTCTCTCTAAAAAAAAAAATCAATGCCAAAATATCCTCAGATGAGGATTAACAACAACAAAAAAGGATTAACAACAAAAAAATCCTTTGAGGAGCCTGACCAGAGTGGCTCAATGGTGGAGTGTTGACCCATATGTACCAAGAGGTCACTGATTCGATTCGTGGTCAGGGCACATGCCTGGGTTGTGGCCCGATCCCCAATAGGGAGCGTGCAGGAGGCAGCCCATCAATGTTACTTTGTCATTGATGTTTCTTCTATCTTTCCCTCTCCCTTCCTCTCTCTGAAATCAATAAAAACTTTTTTTAAGAAGCTTTAAAAAATCCTTTGAAGAAAAAACAGGAGGAAAACAAAATGGAAGTAAAAAAAAAAATACCATAATCTCCCAGGGTCTGTAAAACTTAGAAATATGTTTGACTCATGACTTAGCAAACCCACTTACAAGTATTTCATACCAAAATATAAGCACAGATGTGCAAAGATAGTCACTAAGTAGTCAATAATTTTTTAAAATATGTTTTTATTGATTTTAGAGAGAGAGGAAGGAAGAGGGATAGATAAAAACATCGATGAGAGAGAATCATTGATCAGCTGCCTCCTGCAGGCCCCCTGCTGGAGGTCAACCCTGAAACCAGGGCATATGCCTTGAATGGAAATCGAACTGGGGACCTCTTGATTCATGGGTCGACACTCAACCACTGAGCCACACCAGCCAGGCAAGAATTTTTTTAATAGAGTGGGTACTTGATGAAGTTCACCGCTCACACAGAACAAGTTTTTAGGCAGAGATTGTGGGTACGATAAAAAGTTATCATGAAGAAACCCCAGTGTTTTTTTAAAATATATTTTTATTGATTTCAGAGAGGAAGGGAGAGGGAGAGAGAGATAGAAACATCAATGATGAGAGAGAATCATTGATTGGCTGCTTCCTGCATGCCCTCTGCTGGGGATTGAGCCTGCATATGCTCTTGACCAGAATTGATCCCAGGACCCTTTAGTCTGCAGGCCAACGCTCTATCCACTGAGCCAAACTGGCTAGGGCAAGAAACCCCAGTTTTAAAATAACTTATGTACCAAACTACATTAATCAAGAAATATTTCATTTTTCATCAAATTCAAGCATCCTATACTATCTGAATCTCTGCAGTTGTTAAGTTCAGGGAGAAAATGCTCAGATTCCATGTCTGAATAGTGAAGGAAACCATGTTGTCTAAATTTACTTAGATCCTGAGTTCAGAAAGCAGGACTTTGGATAGTGAACAATACCTTTACAGATTTAAGTGTAGAGCAGAGCTTCTGCTCAATGAGTTAACTGGTTTTATCAAAATATATGTATCTTCAATTAAAGCTAATAAAGGCAACTTTAGGTAAAGATAGAATGTCAGTTGGGCTTTTTAAAATAATAGCTCACAAAAACACTCTTTGCAATCTCTGGAAACCTTTAGAAGAAGTCATATTACATACTTTCAGGAGCTATCACACCTTTTCCCACAGGATGTATACTCAGATGATAAAACCTGCAGACACAGAAAGTGTACTGGCATTACCAACCACCACAGGACCTCATCCCAGAGACAGAAGAGGAATTGTTTTTTATGGCCACCTCTATAAAATAGAGGACAACAATATCTTCACAAAGTTGGGGTGAATAAGCAGAATTCTAGCTAGAAAACATTCCTAAATCAAAAGGACCATATAGAATAGACAAATATTCTTGAAAGACTAACAGGGACACAGATGACTAAGTCTAAGAACAAACACCAAGAGATGTACGTTTAAGCCCACACAATCATCCTCTGAGTGGTTCTCAACCTTCCTAATGTCGCAACCCTTTAATACAGTTCCTCATGTTGTGGTGACCCCCAACCATAAAATTATTTTCATTGCTACTTCATAGCTGTAATTTTGCTACTGTTATGAATCGTAATGAAAATATCTGACATGCAGGATGTATTTTCATTGTTTTCGACCCACAGGTTGAGAACTGCTGAAAAACACAGGGGAATAAAGGACTCAAAGTCACTGCTCTGCATAACATAAGGGTCAGACAAGCTAGCTGGACTTATTCCCTGTTCCTCAACCAAATTAATGTCTATATGCTTTCTAAGGATTTTCTAAAGAGAACAGGGAAGAATGGTCTGCTACATAGTAACTATGAGGATCTACAAATAGGAGCACACCCTGTCCCCCTCTTATTCTACCCAGGCACCCCAACTTTGCCTTTCCCTCTCCTAACCTCCAAAGGCCCTTCTTTTGCTGCTGTACCTTGTTTCCTGAGCCTATGCAGCCCAGCTGGCTTACTTCTACTACCTCCATATTACTTTCTCTTATAATTTAAAAATAAAAATAAAAAATAAATGATACTTGAATTCTGCAAGGCACTCTGAATTTACAACTTCTGAGATCACAATAGTCCCAAATGATTCCAAGTGTAATAGGCAGTTAGACAGACATGAGCAGAGCAAGGACCATGTGCCAGGTACAGAAGGTCACCAGGGCAGAAAGTCCTGGGTGCCCAGCAAAGGACAGTTATAGGGTTGGACCTTGCCCCCCAGGGTGACTGTTCTTCCCCTAGTATACTGCTGGTCATGCAGTTTAGACCCCCTGACCTTTCCTCCCTAGAGATAACATCTAGGCCTCAGTTGTATTTCAGCTCCAGGCCCAGAAAAGCAGCAAAACCAGACCAGCGACCCCATGGCTGACCTCAGGACCAGCTGCTTGACTAAAGACCCCCTGCAGTTGAGACTTAGACCCTGAAAGGACACATCTGGAAAGCTGCTGAATATTTTTTTTTGTAATATATTTTTGTTGATTTTATTGATTTAGAGAGGAAGGGAGAGGGAGAAAGAGATAGAAACATCAATGATGAGAGAGAGAGAATTATTGATTGGCTGTCTCCTGCACACCCCACAATGGGATCAAGCCTGCAACACAGGCATATGCCCTGACTGGGAATCGAACCATGACCTCCTGGTTCATACAGGTCAATGCTCACACCACTGAGCATGCCA